AGGCAGTGAGATATGGTGGTAAAATGTTTAATTGGCGGGAATGCGTAACGGGTGTGCCCCAAGGTAGTGTCCTTGGTCCCCTGCTATTTTCGCTCTTCATCAACGACCTTCCAAAATGCTTGCGATACTACAGTCACCTCTTTTTCGCTGATGATGGAGCTATTTATCTTACTTGCAAAGTTTCCGACCTGAATAGTGGTATTGAAAAAATGAATGAGGATTTAGCAGCCGTCGCGAACTGGTGTCGACTGAACAAGCTGAAAATTAATGCTTCAAAGACTAAAGCCATGATTTTAGGTAGTGCGTTTAACGTGAATTCTATTCAGCTTGATCGAATACCAACTTTAATCCTTGATGATGAAGAGATTCAATATGTAGTAAGTTTCAAGTATCTTGGTGTCATGCTTGATCCAAGGTTATCTTGGGCGGATCATGTCGCAAGAACGTGTAGCTCTTCATCAAGGGTACTATATCGTCTTCGGCATTCTGTCAATGATCTAAACACCAACCTAAAGCGACAACTCGTAACGAGTTTAGTTCTTCCAGTCTTCGATTATTGTGCGGTAGTGTTTACAAATTTGAACATGAACTTTGAAAGAAAATTAACAGTTGCCTTAAACAATTGCGTTAGGTTTGTGTTGCGCAAGAGACTTGGTGAGCATATAAGCAATCCTCGGCTAGATCTTGGGTGGCTATCACCGCATAATCGACGACTATACCTTCTAGGTTGTGTATTTTATGGAATGCTGTTATTAAATAAAAATGCTTTATTGCATGAGCGTATCAGACTAAATCACAACGTCGTTCGGCACAGAGACAACAACCGAACTGACACGCTCCTTGCACCAATCCCTCGAACATCAGTCTTACAACATTCATTTCTAGTCGTTGGGACTAACTTCTGGAACTCTTTACCGCCAACTATTACTTCGTCGACGTCGTTTGATGTGTTTAAAGCTGCTTGTTATAATTATTTGATGACAATTGAGCGTGCTGAAGTTGCTAAAGAGACATATTGATATAACCTAGTGCAATTTTATGTTCTATTCTATTTTTTTTTTTTTTTTTTTTTTTTTTTTTGTTATAATTTAGTTAATTTGCATTGACATTGAGAGACCATATAAAAGAACAATATCCTCTTACATTCAACTACTTATTGTAAACTATATTTTTCATTAATCTAAACATTGTACACTCTGTATATTTTTGTATCTGCTTTAGGCCGTTAGAGGATTTTATCCTACGGCCTCTTAAATAAATTACATATTATTACATATATATGTATATATGAAAAATATATCAAAATGCATATGGGTACTCAAATGAAAGCTTTTAATGAGTGTAACATCGAGTGTAACATCGAGATGAGCTTATATCTTTAAAAACGTCAATAGTTAAGAAAATACAGTTGAAATCTAACAAAAGTAATTATTTAATGAAGCAAAATTTTCGTTTATTTATAGTTCACAAGTCACGGCAGTCACATAGTGACTGCAAGGTTGCTAGTATTTTTTATTGAAAATTTTTTTTCTTACTTTGAATTTGGTTTTTGCAGAAACGATAAGAGTTATGAAAAAATTGATAAGAACCTTTTTAACGGGGAGTTAAATTTCCTAAAAAGAGGTATCTTGGGATTTTTCCATATCTCCAATAATTGAACCAGAATTTTGAGTGTAAGCTTTTGAAACTATGATTTTTTTATCGAAATTTTGCGAACATTGTTTCTTCTCCTTCGAAATTCGGTTTATGCAGAAATGGTCGAAGTTATAAAAAAATAAATAAAGACTTCTTTGATAAGGAATTGAATTTTCTATAAAAAAAAGGTCTCATATTTTTTTTTGTATTTTCAATATTCATCCCTAAATTTTGATTTTGTTTTTAAAACTATTTTCATTATTTTTTGTAAAATAATAATAATAATAATAATAAGAATAAAATTCATTGTTATAAAAATAAATTTAAATCCTTAAAACTGACTAAAGTTATTTCCAGAGTATTAAATGTCCAGAATAATTTAAAAAGCTCTAAATATAAACAGCTAAAAAATTATAGCTATATAAACAAAAATAGACCACAATCATATAAGAATGTTTAATACTGATGAGTGAATACGTAACTTCATTCAGAAAGGTATGATTAATTTTTAAAAGCTCTTTTCTCATCATTTCATTTTCCTCGATTCTTTGTTTACAAACAATGGTTAATTAAAATTAAACCGGCTCCTCACTATATAAGTGAGTATAGTAAAAAATTTAGTGAAATTCAAGAGCTGAAACCTTTAATAGAACTAGCTTAATGAAAAAACTAAATTTCAATCAACCGATTCATATTTTATACTCGACATTATATTAATCAAAGTGTATCATAAATTTTCATTGAATGCAAGCGCGATTTTAATTAATTGATATTTTTTATTACTTTTTCTTTAAATTGATGCTCTTTTATGCTTCGTATATATTTCATAATCGACAAAGATGTCTTTGAAGCTGTGAAAACATTAGTAAATATATAACGAAGACTAATACGTTTTTTTCATTACTTTCTTTTACAGGAAATAAAATATTTACTGGACATTATATACCTTTTTACGTCTGTAACTAAAGCTCGGTTTAGTTTCCTTTTTTTTTTTTTTCCTTTTTTTTTTTTTTTTTTTTTTTGTGAATGGAGCAGTAAAATGATATTTATTTTGATTTAAAAAATCCGAGTGAATCTCGAAAAGCCAGAGGTTTTAATATTGATAAGCTGAAGTAATCTCAAGATTACCAAGGGACTAAAACAAAATAACTCAATTACTTTTGCCTTTTTTTTTTCTTTCTTGAAACTATCTAAAAAATTATTAAACAAACCTGTGAGCAAATTAAATAAACCATTGTAATACTTCAATTCAATTGATCAAAAATCAATTTGTTCTTTATGTAAAATAAAACTAAACCACTCTGTATTTTCACTTTTTTTTTTTTTCAAATTTAAATAAAGTAAAAGCCCCCATCGTTGACACTATAAGAGTGATTATGAATATTTGAATTTTTTTATCGTGTTTCAAATCAATATTGTCAACTTTTTATTATAGGACATCTTAATCATTGTTTTTACTAATATAATTTAATTAATTATCTTTAATAGTAATAAATTTAATAATTATTATATCAACTTAAAACCAACAGGTCGAATGTACACAGAAAAAAAGGTTCACTTGAGCCAAGAAAGTAAATTTTCTTATCTTGAGAAAATTTCTCTCTTGCTCCAAAAAATTAAATAAGGTAAAAGCCCCTATTATTGACATGCTGTTTTATTTTATTGATTATTTAATCAATTTTATGATTAAATTACAATAAACATTGCTTTTTATCAATTTTTAGAAATTTTTGAGTAAGAAAAAAGTAAAATTTTATGCCTGGGTATTAATTATAAACTGCAAAAAAATTTTATTTTTCCGAGTAGACCACTACGGCTAGTTTATTTAAAATTTCTTAACAATTTCGCTAAGAGAGAGCGTATTTTAAATAGCGAAATTTTCTATATAATTCTGATAAAAGCCTATCATCCAAAATTATTTGAGGTTTTTAAACTCTAAATAATCTTAGATTTATTGTTTTAAGCTGATAAATTTTAATTATGATTTAAAAATAGCGGGTGTCAATAGTAGGTACATAAAAATTAACATGTGTTTAACTAGCGACAGTCTACAATTTTAAGAAACTTGACCTCTTTAACAGACATAGCGGATTTGTTTACATGTTGTCTCACGTAATTTTATAATAAAAAAAGAATTGTCTGAGCAAAATATTGTTGTTTACTAGTAAATAATAAATTATATTCGAAGTTTAAATTTCAATTAAACCTGAATAATAGGATTGACACCTGTCAATAATAGGGTCTATGGGTGTCAATAGTTGGCTCCGATACCATTTCACCATGTCAATAATACCTACAGTTGAGATGCTGATTTCAAATTAATATATTTGTCATTTAATTAACGACTATTTAAGTATAAAAATTAAAATACACAAGTTGATGAATCAAAAAAAGTGTCTAACACAAAAAAAAATTAGTCAGATTAATTTGAATACGGTTAAAAAATTCAAATGTTCGTCGTCGCTCTTATAGTGTCAATAATGGGGGCTCTTACCTTATATACTAGGCAGATTTTTTCACTCATGAGACCTGCAATTTCTTTAACTGAAACTTTCAATGCTCATTACAAATTTTTTTTTTCAAATCAATTATTATTCATTTTTGTAAGAAAGTCACGAGAATGTTATAATGATTGCACATTGAAATTTACAATGAATATTAACTAGAATAATTATATGGATAAAACGTGCATGTCAATTCGATAGAATTGAGAATTTATGCAAGTCAAAACAATTCTCTAATTAAATTTCAAGTCTTAGATCTAAAAATTTAATTCTATATTGCGCCCAGCGGAGCGGGCGAGTGATAGCTAGTTAAATATAAGTGAATATTTTTTAACGATTAATAAATATTTATTCAATATTATTAAATGTTAAAAAATAATTAAATCATAAATTAAAAAAAAAAGTCCAGCCTAAAATAAAGTATTGCAATAAAAAATATTTTTCGGTTGATTTGGTCACAACCACAAACGTATCGTCGATATAAAAAGCGTATCGACTACATAAAAAGCGTATTTCGCAGAGCGTGATTCAATTACCAATTCCCAACTACGGCGTTATTTGTTCTAGCTTGTTGCTCGTGATTTGTGAGCACCAGATCAACTGTCAGATAATTCTCGGACTGAAATTCACTTTCCAATACTTGTACATATTACTTTCCAATTTATTTACCAACGTCATCCATCTTTCGGGTTAAATATCTCTTGAAATAACTCACCAAAAAAACCAACCTTACTTCATAGCTATTTATTCTAGACACGCAAGAATTAAAATCCGACATCTCATTATTTAAATTTTAATTTTAATCCAACTGTCAATAATTAATAAAAATAAAAAACATATTTAAACGAGAATAAAAACAAACTATTGGAAAAGTTTGCGCAAGTCGTCAAGAGTCAGCCGGTTGCCGCTTCGGTAAGATCCAGGAGTGAGAATAGAGGCAGCGAGCTCGAGCTTGTGCTCCTGGAGTTCCTTGACCCGTTCCTCGATAGTGTCATCAGTGATAAACTTGTAGACAAACACATTCTTGGTCTGTCCCATTCTGTAGATGCGATCCTGCGCCTGGCACTCTAGCTGGGGATTCCAGTGGATGTCGACGAACAGAATGTGATTTCCCCCAGTAAGATTGAGGCCAACCCCGCCAGCAGTCAGCGACAGCAGCAAAATGTTAGTGTCACTCTCAGGATTGTTGAACTCCTCGACCACCGTCTGCCGATCTCTGACATTAACTGCGCCAGAGAAAACCGCGCACTTAGCACCAGGAACTTCTCTCAAGCAGCTCCGAAAAATGCTCAAGAAACTCGTCCACTGGGACACAATGATCAACTTGTCTTTCAGAGCAAGTATTTCCTTAACCCGTTCCATCACAGCTCTCACTTTAGAGCTTTTGCGCGCTTTTTCAAACACCGGGTTGCTCATTACTAAAATATCATTAATATCATCCGAATTCTGGCCAATATTTTTCAAATCTGAAATTTTCTTCAAGTCAATCTCCTCCTTATCATCACTCCCATCAATTCCAATAGTATTGACATCATTCTGCTCAATCAACCCGTGAATCAACGAGGGATGGCAGCACAGTTGTCTTAACCTCAAAATTAAAACAAAAATCCAAACCATGCCTGAGCTTTTTATTTCTCCAGCATTGTCCGCTAAATACTGCAAATCATTAGCAGTAAATGCATTTTGTTTCCCTCGGCCTCTCCCTCTTCCTCTCCCGCGCGCTCTACCTCTACCCCCACCTCGACCCCGTCCGCCATTTTGTCTCCGTCCGCCATTTCGTGAAGAGCTAACCGAATCATACCCAGCAAAATCTCCGTAAGTCATAGTACCTAATCTTTGCCCCTTGTTAGCTCTCATCATCAAAAACTGTGCAAACAAATTCTTAGAAAGCGCCATGACATTTTGATAAGCCTTACGCTCATCATCATCCAACGTAACTACAATTGTTTCGATTGTACGATCGGGTAAACGATCCATTGCACCTTTGTTCTGAAGCTCCTCTTTAGTACGCCTCAACATAAAAGTTTTGATAAAAGTTGTCAGCCGCTCGTTGCCTGCTACGCCATTTTGAATGGTATTCTGAAAAGTGCTTGGATCATCGAAGGGAGCAAGCCTTAAAAATTTAATTATCGAGTAAAAATCCTCGTAACGATTGTGAATTGGTGTACCAGTGAGAGCCCAACGATGAGTTGCTACCAAGTCGCAGACAGATTGGCAAAATTTAGCGCTGGGGTTCCGGATTATGTGAGCTTCGTCGAGAATCACGCGCTGCCATTTGATCCGGGCTATCACGCCCGGTTCGGTAAGAGATTTAAGAGAGTACTCACGTGCTACTAGGTTGTAGGTCGTTATTACGACGTCGTAACGCGCTAGCAGGCGACGGTCGCAGGTTCGTTGGGTTCCGTGGTAAATTTTAGCCATTAAAATGTTTTCATGGCAGTGATTCTTTATCTCATTCTTCCACTGCTGAAGCAGCGATGCTGGACAGATCACCAGGGTTTTGCCTTTCACCTGGGCGACTTTGGGTACCGAGACAGACTCCGGGTCTGACATTGAGGTACTAGCTGGTGGATCTTCGTCCTCAGAGTCCAAGTGGTCTTCGTTTGTTTTGACAATCAGAGAAATCATTGTCAGGGTTTTTCCAAGACCCATATCATCGGCGAGGATGCCACTGGGGGGGTTCTTACGCTCTCGCCAGAGCAACCAGGCCAACGCGTGCTCTTGGTGAGGCTTCAGAGGGGTCTTGATGCCTTCTGGGGTTTTCTCACGCTGGTTTTCACTTGGGCAGGTTAAGAGAGTGCCATGCAATACTTGGAGCTTCTTCATGGACAGACGGGAGCCAGGGGCTTGAGTTTGATTGTCTTTGGCTGATAGAACTTCATCGTACTCCTTTCGCAGACGGTCAAGCTCAGATTCTTTGAACTCTAGCATGTCTTTCTGACGCTGGCCTTTGTCTTGGAGCTTATCCAAGTCGCAAGTTTCGATAATTGTCTGTAAAAGTGGTTTTATAATTGTGAGTTGGATTTTTGTTTTATGGGTAGGTTTTTTATTTTTTTAAAGACTTACGCGATAGTGCTCGATTTCTTTCTCCGTGGCTTCTATTTCTTTTAATAATTCTTCAGTCTTTGAAGCTATCTCCGGGTCGAAGTTGTCTTCAAAGGAATCGAATTTTGGAAGGTTATTTAGATTAAATTCTTCATTCATCTCGTCTGAATCATTTTCAGAGTTATCTGTAAGAAAATAATTTAATTTTAAATTGGAATTTTTTTATTTTTTCAATTTTTTATTTTTATAAAAATCATTGAAATTAATGGAATAATTATGAAGATAAAATTAGACGATGTCTAATTTTTTTTAGGTTTAATAAATAAATTAGTATTGAAGAATTTTTCAATAAAAAAATTAGAATTAAAGAATTTTTAAAGAATTAAATTAGATTTATTACATTTCTGCAAGAAAAAAATTTTTTTTTAGTTTTTTTGGTAATAAATAGTTTAAGAAATTTCATGAAAATTGTCAAACGTCTCTTGATTAAAGTATTATTAATAATTGTCATTTTTTATAAATAAAAAAAAAATTAATTCTATTTTTTTTATTTTAAAAGAAGTAAATACAATTTTTATATTTAATAAAAATTATATTTAAATAATAAATAAAAATTAAACTAACCTGAATCGGAATCAAGACCATCAACAATTTCTTCTTTTACCACTTCAAGATTAATTATATCCACGTCTGAAACAAACAAAAATTAATTGTTATCTTTACATTCTTACACATTTATAATTATACAAAATAAAATTTTTACGATTTTTTTTTTTCAAATTCTTTGAACGAAAAATAAACAATTATTTATTTACATAACAAACAATTGGAAAATTTTATGATACTAAAAATTTGAATTTTGGATTCAATACTAAAATTTTTGATTTTTTATATGACACTGAAGTTCACAGATATTAAAAATTTTTTCGAAATTTTATAACAATAAATTTATTATGAAAAAAGTATCGTTAAAAAAAATCCTAATATGAAAATAGAAAAAAAATTATTAGTGAAAATTTTTAGAAATTTAATTTTTATTGCAATTGATTTGTTATTGAAAATAATATTACGAAAAAATTAGAAGAAAGATTTTCCAAGGAGGTTTGAAAAAATTGAAGTGTAATTTTTGAAAAATATTTTAAATTCTGATTTAGTTAATGAAAAAAATCAAAAAATTGTCAAAAGTTTGTTGACCAGCATTAAAAAATTTTTATATTAAAATTTGTAGACATAATTTTCAATTTTTACTAAGAAAAAAATTATTTATTTGTTGTAAAAAATTTGTAATGTTTTTTTTTTTTAATTTCTACATGTGGAATTTATTTATATAAATTCCATTCGACATTTATTTTTGAAAAAATCTCAAAAATTAATGATACTGAAATTAATAAACATCTGATAATTTTGACAATCTTCATTCCAAATCGAGAATGATTAAAATATTTCTCATTTATAACTTTTTTCAATTTTTCCATGTGAAATTTTCAACTAAATTAATTTCATACTAGTCACCTTGCAGTCAGTATGTGACCGTCGTGACTTGTGAACTATAAATAAATAAAATTTTGCTTTGTTAAATAATAACTTTTGTTAAATTCCACTGTATTTTCTTAATTATTGACGTTTTTAAAGATATAAGCTCATCCCGATGTTACACTCATCAAGAGCTTTCATTTGAGTACCCACATGCATTTTGATATATTTTTCATATATACATATATATATATATAATACATATAAATATATGAAAAATTGATGTGGGTACTCAAATGAAAGGTCTCGATGAGTGTAATGTCATGATGAGCTTATATCTTTAAAAATGTCAATTATTCACGAGTTACGCGGTCATTTCTTAATTATTGACATTTTGAAAGATATAAGCTCATTCCGATCTTATACTCATTGAGACCTTTCATTTGAGTACCCACATGCATTTTTGATATATTTTTCATATATACATATATATAATATATATAAATATATAAAAAATTTATATGGCTACTCAAATGAAAGGTCTCGATGAGTGTAACATTAATATGAGCTTATATCTTTAAAAATGTCAATCGTTCACAAGATACAAGGTCATTACTTAATTATGTATCTAGAGATAGAGAATTTTCGAATGCAACCTAAATGTCTATCATCATCAATTGACTAACAGTGAAAATGATAATACTAAAATTAGCCGAAAATTTTTATTTTTTGATTTTTTCTTATTTGTTAAATAAGAACTAAAAAATATTTATTTAAAATTGCACCTATAGTTTATAACGAATGAAATTTCTTATTTTTAACTTCCCGCTAAAAATCTCAGATTTTCAAAAATCGGGAAGTTATTGTTTTCACCCCGTTTTACAAAAATCGAGTTTTCATCAGATCTCGACGTTTGAAGGTCACAGGAAGCTTCCCTGACTATTTTTACGATGATGTCCGTACGTCTGTATGTATGTGTGTGTGTATGTGTATGTGTGTGTGTGTGTGTATGTAAACCTCTTGTAACTTTTGAACGACTTGACCGATTTCATCGCGGTTGGTGTCATTCTAAAGGGCTTCACTAAACTTAGATTTCCTGAAAATTTGAACCGATTCGGACTGGTAGATTTCGAGAAAATGCAAAAAAAGTGAAAAAAAAAGTTGTGGTTTTTTTATTTTTTTCAAATATCTCCGAATTGGCTGAACCGATCGGTCTCAAAAACTAATCAGCTCTTAACCTTGAAAATCCCCATCAATCGCCACCAAAAACGTTAGAATCGGTTGATGCGTTCGTGAGATATCGTTGTCGAAAAAAATCGAAAAAAGTGTTTTTTTTGTAATAACTTTGAAATTCATGGCTCGATCGATTTAAACTTGAAAATTTACCATGGAGCTTCAAAAACTGCGTCGATTGCCGCCAACCGCGTGAAAATCGGTTCATTCATTCAAAAGTTATTGCCGTTTGAAAATTCAAAAAATTGTGTCTTTAAACTGCTATTAGAGTTTTGAGCTCGAAGAGCTCAAATTGACGCAAAAATAATATTTTTGAGCTCGAAGAGCTCAAAAACGTAATGTGTAGTTTGAAGCGTTTAAGTACAAAATGAGCGGGAAGTTGCAGGGATGGCCTTTAGGGTGAACCGTTTTTCTAATTTTTTTTTTTTGCAACAATTTTTTCAATACAAAAAATTCTAAAAGTTTTTAGATGTCGGCTAACTTAATTTTCATGTGAAAATTATATGAAATCTTGAAATTTCATTAAAAAAAACCTGAACAAAAAATTTTTCTTATTTTCTTTATAATATAGATTAATTTAATTGTGATAAAAACCTAAAATAGACGGCTGTAAATTTCAGTATCATTAAAATCAATGAAATTTCTCTTGATTTGTCAAAGAATCATGTCAAATTACTACAAAAATAAATTTAATACTTTCAAAAATAAACGTCAACATAAACAAACACAAAAATAATCACCGGAAGCATTATTAGGACCATTAAGCTGATTGGCCGATGTACTCGGTCCAGGATTATCCACATCAATAGCCCCATCAGGCTCATCATCAGAGAACACACTGCAGAGCGTAAACATAGTAAATTAATCAATCGATAATATCAATATTATTATTATTATTATTATTATTATTATTATAAATAAAATAAACAAACACTTACATCCCATCACTGGCGTCAGAATCACTATCAATAAGATAACTGTTATTTAGCACGCGCTTGTAGTTGCGATTATAATCAACTTTTTTTCTTTTTTCCTCCAGCGGAACTGATTCTACAGATTTTCTTTTACAACCAAACGACATTTTTTACACTCGCGGTTAATAACAACAAATAATAAATAATTAAAATTATTTAAAACAAAACTTTGATAAATATTATTTAAAATTAATAAATAATAAATAATAAATACATTAAAAATGTAATTTTATTTTTTACATGTCAGCGCTTTGTCTATGACAAAAAAAACAAGCTGACAAAAACACGAACGAGCCTGTCGGTTGTCTTTGAGCGTTCGGGCTTGCACTTCGGGGCACTTGGGACTTGAGACTCAACTCGGGTGCGAGCTTCTCTTGTCTCTTGTCGCTCATTGGCTCTGAATTCCAACAGTTACAGTTTTACAATTCCGAGTTTCTTATTGGCTGCTGAAATTTAATATGGGCCAATGGGGCTCCAACGTTCCGTTGGATTCCGCGCTTTGATTGGTCGAAATCAAACTCGGCTGTTTTTTACGGAATATCACGGATTGACCGTTGTGCTTGCATACAACACAGCACTTCACATCACGCTGACATCCCAGGTACGCCGGTAAGCTTCCGCGGTCGTTGCTCATTTTTTTTTTGTTTTTTGAGACAATTAATTGTTATTTATTTAATTAGAGTGTTTTATAGTTAGAGAATATTATTTGTGATAATTATCTTAAAATTATAATACTAAAATTAGCCGACGTTCTACAATTTTTGACTTTTTTAATTAATTAAATTACAAGTAAAAAAATAATTTTAAAAAATTTATAAAAATTAAGATAGCCATCTAAAAATTTTATAATAATAAAGTTAGCCGATGTTTTTAATTTTTTGATTTTTTTTTAATAATTAAATTAGAACAAAAAAATATTTTATAAAAATTGCACTTACAGTTTTTAAAATTTTTTACAAATTAAATTTTTTTTTATTTTTTTGTAATAATTTTTTTAATAAAAAAAAATTCTAAAATTTTTAAATGTTTAACTCAATTTTTATAATTTTTTTTATTGAAAAAAAAAAATTTGTAAGAAACTTAAAAAATTATTAATGCAATTTTTTAAAAATATTTTGTAGATCGAATTTAAAAAATGAAAAGAAATTAAACACATCGGCTAACTTTAATGGCATCGAAGTTACTAGTTACTTGACATTTTTAAAAATTTTCTTTAACAAATAAATTTGTTCCGAAAAATTATTTTTAGAAAGTTGTATTTTCAATTTTTTTAAATTTCTAGATGTCAATTTTTATGACACTGAAGACGCAGACGTCTAAAAATTTATAATTCTTATTTTTAATTAAATTACAACTAAAAAGATATTTATAAAAAATTGCACTTATAGTTTTTCAAGTTTTTTACATGTGAAATTTTTTTTTAATTGTTTAATTGAAATTTTTTCAATAAAAAATTTCTAAAAATTTTGAAATATCAGCTAACTTCATTTTCATCAATTTTTCTAATTTTATTTTTGCCATTATTTGTTATAAAAATTATTTAAATTATCAAACATCTACTAAATTAATTTTCATGTAACTCTAGTATTGATAAAATTGTACGTATAATTTTTTTAATCTTTTATATGTGAATTTTTTTTTTTTTATTTTTTTTGCTATAATTTTTTTAATTAATTAAAAAAATTTTCAGATGTCGACTAATTTAATTTTCATTAAAAACTATTGCTTTTTTTAGAGATTGCGGAAGTTTGTACTGTGGGTAAAAATATGGCTGATTGGTTGACGGGCAAAGTATTTATTTATTATTTTTTAATTAGATGTTTTTTGAAAGTATCAATGACATTAAAGTTGATGGTTCGAATTTCTATAATCGGGTAGCATGTAATTAATAAATAATTACAATAATGAAAGCGCAGATATTCAATTATTTTTTTTTAATTAAATTTTGAAACTAGAGGACTTTCATTTATTAAAAAATTCGTCTGCCACTTTGTGAAATATATTTTTTTTTGCAAAAATTCCAAGAATAAAAAATTATTATTATCTTGGATTTTCTTTAATTAATTTTAAATTTTTTTTTATTGAAAATTAAAAATTTTTCAAATTAGATTTGAGAAATTAGTTGATATTTTTTCATTATTGTAATTAATTAAGTAGTGAGTGAAAAGTGTCAAGTGTTGAGTCTAAGAGCTGTTGGAGATGTCAAAATTGGAGTTCAGGTAAGAATTTTCTTGATGATGTTTAAAAAATTGTTTACTAAATTTAATTATTTTTTAAATTACTGAATTTTACGGAATGGAGGTGCGAAAAAATTTTTTATATTATTGGTATGTATTCTTGGGAATAACAATTAAGTAACTATAAAATAAAAATAAACATATTTTTTTATTTTTAACATTTTTTTATAATAATAAAATTAGCCGACATTTTTTATTTTTTGATTTTGTTTAATTTATTAAATTAGAACTAAAAAATTTTTTTTTAATTTTACTTGCAGTTTTTCAAATTTTTCACAAATGAAATTTTAAAAAAAAATTTTTTTGTAATGATTTTTTCAATAAAAAAAATTCTAAAAATTTTTAAATTTCGGCTAACTTTATTGCCATCATTTTTTTCAATAAATAAATTAATATAAAAAAACTCTGAAATTTCTACAGGTGAATTGAAAAAAAAATATTTTTTTATAATATGTAAAAAAAAATTTGAAAATTGCCAGATGTCAGTCACTTTAAATATAATAAAATTGAAATATTTTATTTAAATAATTATTTAAATTACAAAACTGCATCACTATTTTCAGTATCATAAGAAGTTATTCGGAATAAAGATTAAAAAAAAAAGTCGTATGGATATAGATATTCCTGTATAAATTGAAAGTTGAAGATAGAATTGACAAGATTATTCAGTCATGAATAGTACAAGATATCTTAAACGAATTTGAGATTTCAATATGAGATATCGAATCTCACCAACTAGATTGATTTATTTCTCTTAGAGAAGAATAATTTATAAATACTTTTATTTATGAAAGTAAAAAAAAGTCAGAGAACAATTAATGAGTTAATTATATTGACAAAAAAAAAAAAATAACGAGGCATTATAAATTTAAATTGTAAATAGTAGATTTAATAAAATATCATATAGTGGATTATTTGCATCGGCGAGAATTCGAGTTTGACGTCACAATACACGCTGTCATGACAACGACACTTGCTCTCATCCGGCATCCAAACTAAGTTTTAATTAATTTTAATTAATGCATTATTATATTGCACAACCAAACGTATTCCAAACTCGAAAATTAATAATTGTGTGTCATGTACTCTCTGTATTGTGTGTACAGGACAATTGTGGTTTATTAAACTGCTGATTAAATTATTGATTATTTCGAAGCAATCAATTTTTATCCAGCTCAATAAATTATCTCAATATTAATATTAACACTGACATTAAAATTCATTTTTATTTTGGATAAAACAATTAAATCATCACCCCCAGGAATCCGTCAACTCATCACCTCGTTTCACGCAATAATTTTTATTAAACAATAACATTTAACGGCTCAATAAATTCTGGAGGGAACAGTTGAATTTATGAAGGAAAATTTTTATGTGGTAAGTAAGCGATAGTATACATTCAAATCGCTTTTATTTACGTAATAATATAGTTATGACTCACTATCAAATAGTTGTTTTTAGTCTAGATATTTTATTACATGCATCAAGAAAATTTTTTTACAAGTTTTTAATACAGTAGACTCTCGATAACTCGAACCTCGTTAAGTCGAAATCCTCAGTAACTCGAAAAAAATTTATATTCCCTTCCGCTGAACCCTCAAATACGCGATATCTCGAATTATTTAGACTCTGTAACTCGAACTTAGTATCGTTTCCCTTCCAGTATCGATAAGGCATATTTATACTCTATAACTCGAATTTTAAAAGTGAATCTCTATAAGTCGAAGTCAGTAAAATGTAAAGACGTTTTTCTCCGAACTTTCCAGGTTTATAGCAATCAAATCTTAATTCCTATATAGGAATGTTCAATGCTTCTTACATTCTTGTTTGTAATGTGTATTTTTGTGGACCTGGATCACGTATGATTTTTATGTACAATTTATTATTATGTATTTCAATGTATTTTAATTCACTGATTCTAAATCTAAAAGTTAATTGCCCGGTGAGCCGTCCAAATTTAAAAAAAAAAACAAAAAACCTAAAAAAATTTCAATAAAACATGAAAAATTGAAGTTTTCGAAATCAAAATTTTTTGGACTCAGATTGAGTATGATTCTCATGTATTTTGTTCCGCTGAATTTGAATCTGTAGTTTTCTTGCCCCGTTAACGTTTTAAAATTTTTAAAAATCTCAAAAAATCAAAAAAATCGGGAAAATTTAAGTTACAAATATGAAAAAAAAATCTACAAAACATGATTAAATACTTTGATTGTATTTTTTCACGCATGAAGTACAAGTTAAGAATTTGAAAATATTTTTCTTAATTTTCTTAATTTTTGGTCTTATCTACTTGCAAATTTCGAACATCTTGTTAAGTCGAAAACTCGTTAACTCGAAGTTTTTATCACTTCCCTTGAGGTTCGAGTTATCGAGAGTCCACTGTAGTAAAAAAAAAGACGCCTTAATTTTAATTCCATAATTTTTAAGTAGGTTTCTTTAGAAATCTATTTGTTGTAGTCGGTTTCATGCCGTTATTTTAAAAAATGGCATTGGCTCAAAAGTTTATGTATGCACTGAAGAAAAAATTAACTTGAATCAAGACGAAAAATTCTTGAATCAAGCAAAATTTCCTTAAATCAAGAAAAATTTCTTTAAATCAAGAATTCTTCTACTCAAATCAAGAATATTAAGTTCTTCAAAATTATATACTTGATTGAAGAATTTTTTTTCTCTGTGTATATATATGTGTGATATAACGCGCTATGTCAGTACACGGAAAAAAGTGAACTGTAAAATTCAATTGGATTCTGGTTAATTTTTATAGTTTCAAACAGTACAGCGGACATCGGGGTGGCACAAATGTAAATATTACAAAACTTAATGTAGAAAGTGTAAAAGCCACAATTTATAATTTAATATCGAAAATGTGA